AAAAAAAAAAAAAAAAAAAATTAAGATGGGAGCCAGGCATCTGGGAAATAGGCAGGGGCCATTGTTAGGCTCCAGTGGATTCTGTGCTGCTGTGAAGGGCAGCTGAAAACCAGCCCTGCAGGCCCTTCCCTCGTCACCTGCCCCCTACTCTGCAGTCTAGCCTTGGCAAACCCCTCTTCCTCTCCAGAGGATGTCCTGTAACTGCCCAGGTGAGAGGAGCCTGGCAAAACCCATGTTTGGGAGGAGAGGAGGATTCAGGCCCCAAAGAAAAGAACGCATCACCGCTGGGGAAGCCCCTGACAATCTGGAACCCTGTGCTTATCCCACTTTGCCTCTGCCTGGCTCTGTGTCCTTGAGCAAGCCCCGGTTCTGTTGTCCTTCAATCCCCACCCCCTCCCCAGATACCTTGCGATCTGAGGCCCTTCGGTCTCGCTCATTCTAAGGCCTGCATCCTGACGACCAGCCGTGGGGGGGCGCAGCGAGCTCGGGCCTCCGCCGCCGCCGCCTCCCGTCCCTTCCGGACGAGGGGCCGTGGACGGCGGTTGTTTGGGCGGCCCCGCTGGCAAGGCCAGGAGGGCTGATTTGCCGCTGCCAAGGCCCCAACCTCCCCGGTCTCCCACAGCGGCTCGTCCCTGGAAGTGCCAACCCCCTTCCCACCGCCGCTGGTCCTTCAGGCGCTGCGGGGGTTGGGGTGTCTCCGTGGCCCTCCTGCTCAGCCACGTGCGCGTGCTTGGTGCAGTGGGGGAGGGGAGCGGGGTCTGAGTCGCCACGGCTCCAGCCTCTGCGTTGTGTGGCCTTGGGAAGCTCACAGTTTGCTTGGGGCGGAGAGAATTATCGTTAACCACAGGAAACTAGGGCTGTGCCCTGGTGTCCTGTCCTTCCAGTCTGGTCCTTTGCTCCAACATCTTGGAAAGAACGATGTGAGCGAGCTCGGGCCAAATTCTGCGGGCCCTTAAACGGGGATTCTGGAGAGCCCAGCCTGCAAGCCAGAGGAGTTTGAGGCTGCGATCCAGGGGCTTGTGGGAAGCGGGAAGCTGGCAGGATGCAGCTGTGGCCACATCAGCGGCAGGAACGTTTGCAGGTCTCCACAACAGGGTAGGGCACCAGGCACACTGCTGCAGGGTGTGTGCACGGCCGGGCGGCAGCCCGGGACTCAACCAGCAACACCAAGCCAGCAGTTGGATGCCCGTGGTCTGCGCAGGCCGGCAGGTCATGCCGGGCAGCCAAGAGCAGCCACGGGCCGACGTGGCACAGTCGGTCCGACGTCCCCGGGGGGCCAGAGCACCGGGCCCGGGTCCACCCAGGCGGACGTGAGGCAGGGCACGAGGTCCACCAGCCAGCTGCGCCGAACGCGCGCCGCC